GATAATCGTGTGCAACTGCGCGCACAATTGGCAACGAAACCACACTTGTTTGGCTGAATGATGAGCCCTAGCGGCCTGGCGTCGTTCGTCTCTACAATTGAGCGCCAGCACGGTTAACTCCTGAGAACAATCCTGACCAACAGCTCCTTTGCCAAGTCGGCGCCCCGACCAGCGGAAGCGGACATCGCCGATCAGACCGCGGGGCTTCGCGCGCATTTGGCTGCCGCGCAGCAGCACCTGCGACATAAGCGCGGCTGGCGAGCGCACTACTAGACGCTACAACTCCTCGGCTGGAAAAGAGGAAGAAGGAGAGGCTCGGACAGGCACGGGGGTAATAGAGTTGGTTGTGCGAATGAATTGCCACACAAGCGAGACGCAACGGAGACTTAACCGCTCTAGCCTCTTCTAACAACCGCTCCTAAACACCATTTCGTAACATGCAATCATATCTACAAAGGCTGCGACGCTGTCCTCGTATACTGCGCGTGCAATTGCTGCGCCCAAGTTACGCGACAAACCACTTTCTGATGAGGATCGGCCCGCTCCTGATCCCCATATGATTTCAACGGGCTGTTTGGCTTCCCGGGGCGCGGCGAGAGGGCGACGGAATCTACCCCAGACTCGCGCGAGCTCTGCATCAGCGCTATCAGCCTGTATCTCTCCGTGGGCTTCGGGGGGCGGACTAGCTGCGTGAGCTGTCGTTGAAGCGGCCATGTGAACAGGGCCCCACACTCCATGGTGCATGAATGAATCCGCCAGGGCTTGAAGCCGCATATACATTTCAGGCTGCGCGGGGCGCCACCGAACTGCCCGACCCCCGTGGCGCGCGGCAACTTGAGCAGCGCAGCTCGAACGTCACTGACCGAAATGGTCGGCAATTCGCCCCAAGCACTACCATCAGTTGGCAGGGCGGAAGACTCCGCACAATGGCGGTCCGAAATCCCAACCCCGCCCCTCATCGATCGGCCCGCGAGGACGCGAGTCTGGGCCGAGGTCTGAGGCAGGCGGCTAGCTTCGCACCTCTCCTGCAGCGCTCGCCCCCTGCAGCGCCCGCGAGCAAAACTGCCGCCCCCATGAGACGAAGCGAGAGCAACTTGCTTCCAAGCTTCTGTAGACTTGGCCGCCTTCTGCTCCGAAAACCTGGCGGCTTCCCCAATGGCCCTAAGAACCTCAACCTCGAAACCAGGCCGAGTGAACGCGTCCTTCCCGGCCCCTAGAACGGGCGGGCAAACGCATCAAGACGCCGCGACTCTCGGGCAGCGGCAACGCGCCCCAAGAATCGAACAAGTTCTGTCAGCAAAGGTGCGATCTTGCGATGCTGCTGCCTGCCAATTTCCCCGTTGGCTTCCGTGTCAGCCGAGCTAGTGACAGCGTGCACCAGAGCTTCTCGATCCTGACGAAGGTGCATGGCCCACCGGGCTGCGACCGCCCAGGCCTGCCCCTGCGGGCCAAGGCGCACGCGGCAACGAGCTGGTTTCCGTTGAAACTTAGTAAAGGCAAGCTCCACCTTCCCCACGCCCGGCCGAGATAGGGCTGGGCTGCTGGCCCCACTAAATCGCATCGATTGAGCATCTCTAACCTTACGCTGGGCAGCGCTGCATCCCACGCAATCTGAAGCGAGGCATCGTCGCCAGCTTCGCTGTTCAGCCTTGAGGCCCACTTCCAGTGGATCGGGAACCGCGGGCGCCCTGGCGGCGGCTGACGCGGGGCGGCCGCGGGCTTTCTGAGCTCGCGCGCCCAGACAGGCAAGCCCATGCCATAAGCGCTCACACGCACGGGGGGGCGAGGGCAATCGGCAACATTCTCTTGCACGCCGGCCGGGGAGGCTCGCGAATCTACATCCTGTGCCACTAACAAGTAATCAATGCGACGTCCATTGGAGCGACTGCCTGCAGGTAGCGGCCGCGGGGACTTCCAGCACCCCCCCCGGCCCCATGCGTCCAAGACAAGTCCCCCAGCTCCCCGACCTCCATCCTAAAATCTCCGCCGACCGCCCAATCGTGGCCTGCATGGTTGATATATATATAACTCCTCGAGTATGCTAGCGGTCCACTCTGACCATCCTTCGTTGACAAGAAGATATATGCTGATGTGCACAAGCCCTCCCGGCGTGCCTCAGTGCACCTTGGGAGCTAGGGCTCTGGCAGACGCAAATGCCGGCTTGGGCAACAACGGCGGCTCGCTGATCAACGCATGGCCTGGGGACAGGATGGCCAAGACAGCTCTCGTGCCTTCGCCGTGGCCCGACGATTGCGTTTCTGACCAGATTCCCTTCCAACCAAAATCGCGAACTGAGTGCTGCGCGTCAGCGAGACGATGTCCTGGGGCGCGGTGCTCCCGAATAGAAGCTACCGAGTGGGCGCGCGACTTCATGCAGCATTCACGCATCTGCTTCTCTTCTGAGCAATTGACGGTGGCAATCGCACCTTTCTCTGCAGCGGAATAGCCGAACACTGCGCCGCCAGCCGCTTGCGCCCCCCGCGCAGCCCGCGCGGTTACCTCCGCCCCTGGCGGAGGGCCGCCTGTCGCAGCAGGGGAACTCTTCATCATCCTCCTCGCGGAGGCACTGCGAGCGGCGCGCGTCTTTGCGCCGCCCTCGGCCAGGCGAACTCGCGGAGGGGGCAGCGACCACCCTCCTCGCGGAGGCCCCGCGAGCCTCGGCCCTCGGCCAAAGGCCCCCGACTGCTGATGGGCTCCTCGAGCCGCAGCCAAGCGAACTGAGAGCTGCCACGGGCTCCTTGCCAACCCCGCGGCCGAGAGGGGGTTTGGCGTCGATTGCCCCTGCGACCGCGCCCGCGGTCGAGGTCGCCTGCGCGGTGGGACAAGAGTCCCAGCGCAGCGCCAAATGGATAATCGTCGTCGCCCAGCAGATCCCACTACTGGCGTTTGACCTCCAACCTGGTGCGCCTGGCCGCACGCCAGCCTTGCGTGCTCTTGACGAGCTTGCGGACCTGGCCACGCAGCTCGGCTTTATCCTCTGCGGCGTCGACTCCAGCGTTCTTGACGAAGTCTCGAAGATCCTCGAGGTCTTCGTCATCTCCATCTGGGAATGGTAAGCCGTGACTCGCGCTGGCGGCTGCTGCAGCTGGCGCGGCCCCTCCAAGAACTGGCTGGGGCTCGGCTGTTTCAGCTGCAGGGCCTGCTCTCTCGCGCTCCTTGGCCTCGGTCCCCTTAGCCCGCTTGGCCTTCTCGTCGCGCTCGAACGTGCACCCTCCAGCATCGAGCCGAACAGGGTGGCTGCCATCGCGCCCGAGCCGCCCAGCGCCGATAGGATATCCCCGAGCTTGCTGATGGTAGCGCCCAACAGTGACACCATGTACTCTGAGTCTGCCGCCGCCGGCGGCCGCGGGATGTGGCTGGCCAGGCGGGTCTGCTCCTCGGAAATTTCCAGGATCTGCTTCTCCGCCTCCGCGTTCCTCTTCCTCGCTGTCCTCCTGCGCTTTGGCCCGCACCTCTCTCGCTGCCCCCGGAGCCTCCACATGCTTCTCCTTGCGCTGCTGCAGCTTACTGCTCTGGAAGGCGAGAGTGCGAAGCCTCGCTGGTGCTGGTTTGGCCTTTTCCAACTCTGTACGCAAGCGGCTGCGCTCAGTGTGCAACGACATCCGATCTGCGGCGAAATTATCATCATTGAGCCCCTCGGTGGCTCGCAACGACTGATCAATATTGTCGACTCTGGCCCTCTTCTGCGCTGATGTAGCATAGGTGGGCGGAAACCATTCGTCGACCTGCATTTGATCTGTCGGTGGCTGGCTCGCCGCCAGGCGAGCACTGGCCCCCTCCAGTTGTTTCTCGAACTGCGCGAGGCGTGGAGCATGCCATGGTGGCTCGCCTCCTGCGCCTGGCTAGGCTCCTCCCCTCAGCGTGAAACTAACGTTGCTCCCCGCTGCTCTCGTTTTGGGCGCAGGCGTCGGTCGGGGCTTGAGGAATGCCGTGGCCTTGGCGACTCCACACTTCGAGCATGACGTGAACGTCGACCGATTCCACCATGGCTCTTGCGTGACTGGGTGGATGCAGCGACGGCAGCACCAACCTTCTGCTTGCACTCGGCGCCGCTGGGCGTGTCGTGAAAGCTTCGGGCCGTCATTGGACATGAGCACCAAGATTGAAACCGCTCTGCGTGACGATCTGGCACTCAGGACTGGGCCGCCTGCGAGCCCGTGCGCTACTGGCAAAAAACTGGAGGGGGAGGAGGAGGAGGAGGCAGAGGAGGAGGAGGAGGAGGAGGAGGAGGAGGAGGCGGAGGCGGAGGAGGAGGAAGATGAGGACGGGCAACTCATCTGAGCGCCAAGAACCAACAACACGCTCTCCGTCCGTGCAGCCGAGAACCCCGGGGGCCACAGCCGCGTGATTGACGGACCGGGCGGTGGCCTCACTAGCGCTGTGCGACGCCGCACGGTCCTGGGACCTCGGAGGCCCCAGGCGCCCGGAGACATCCTCGGAGAACGACCCGAGCTCCAAAACCGTGCGTTGACCCCGAATTCAAACGCACTCCCCACGCGGTGGGGTCACCAGACTGTGTGGGACCCCCCCGAGACGCTGGGGAGTGGAGCGCAGGGCAGCGGTGCGCAAAGGCCAGGGGGACTTGCTCGTGGGGCCCTCCCGCCCGCTAAGAGATCTCCCAAGACGCCTCGGGAGTGAAAGGGGAACGACTGGGGGTGGGGGCCCGCTGCGGTGGGGACAAACAATGCCTGGAATCGGCGACACGTCGATGATAGATTTGCGATAGGCCGTCGATCGCAAGACCGCACGTTTCTCGGCAGGGTGGGCCATCAGGCCCATGGTGGAGACGACCGAGCGACTGTGGATCGATGCGCCCCCCCCGTGAGGGAGGCTTCGCAGAAGGCCGGGGTGCTTCCGAGAAGCCGCACCACCGTCTCTCAGAGGGTCTGCCCCCCCCCTCTCCCTTCCCGCCTGGGCGCGCCAACCGAAAAAACAGTCCGCCAGGCTCTGCGAGACTGCCACGTCTACGAACCAGCTGCACGTCGTGCATGCGGCCATCTCTAGGTGCGAGTGGCAGGCTCTGGGAGGAAGAGAGACGCGCAAGAGGACTGCTGGAAGGATGGAATTCGACCCGGAGTGAGGCGAGGAAGAAGGAAGAAGGGAATCATATCAGAATGACAAAAGATGGACGGGGACAGGCTACGGATACATATACCGAGCCTCTGGCCTGCCTACGCACCCGCCGCCCAGCACACCCTGCCCCGTCCACCTCCTCCCTCTCAAAAGCAACGGTAATACCAAGATAACTGGGCACGAACGAGGAACAGAAAGGAACGGGGGGCAGGGGGGGGGCGACCCCCCACTCCAGCTGTGGGTTTTCCCAACTTAGGAATACACGCAGGGGGAGCGCCCCATCCTCGAACGGGATACGTCCGAACAGCCCCCCCCCAGGGGCGTACACCAAAGTCACCTTCCTCTCCTGAGAGTCTTCATGTTTCGGGCGGAACTCTCGGTGGCGGCATAGAGGGGGTGCGTCCCAGAGGGGAGGGCGCAGATCATGGCTGGCGGCACGTGCGCAGCCCAGGGCGGGGGGGGGGCGGGGACGTGCTTTCAAGTAAGAAGCGGCGCTTATGACGTCTGGGGAGATATCGTAGCCCCCGCCATGACATCCCCCCCCCCTGGTCTGAGGTCGGGCGTGTCCTCCGACAGGCGGATATTGGACGAAGCAACACTCAACAACTACTCAACAATAGTCAACAATGCGGGTAAGGTCGTCCCCAGACTATTATATACAATGCTTGAATATTTCTCCTGCAGAGGGACATGACCGATTTAACCCCAGCCGTCACCCCCCTCGTGGCCGCTGCCGAAGCTCGAGCCTCGAGCATCTCGGGAGCGGCCAAGAGAGGGGTGTCCAAGAGGGCGGGGTGTAACTCATGACCGGCGGCACGTGCGCGGCCCAGCTGGGGGGCCAGGGACGAAATGGCATAAGAAGAGGCCCACTGACCGGGTCCCCTTACCTGGGGTCCTGGCTGTACCCGAGCCGAGGGCGGGAGCACAGCTCCCCGGCACTCCCCCAGACGCCACGCGGGAGCGGCCCACGACGGGCTCCTCGCGCCCGGCCGCCGGACACACCGCGGGGGACCGCCTCGCCGACCTCGCCTCGCCTCTCGCACGGCTGCCGACCTCGCCTCTCGCATGGCTCTCACGACGCGGGCTGGCCTCTTTGCGGGCCACGGTGCCCGGGGCGGGAACACCCGGATCCGTGATCCTGAGGGACGTGTCTTAGAGCTAACGTTAGATTGGGCGTGTCCTGCTACGGGCGGACTTTGGAAGTTCAGTCGTGAGGAAAACAGTCAAAGGTGGATCCAACAAAGTCCACAGCGCACGCAACATTGGCACCTGACTATCTTTGTTTACTGTTCTTGCGTACTTGATGGGCCTGTTTTCCACCACCACCACCACAAGTTGAAGGGGGAGGGGTTCTCCTCCTCCTCCTTTTCCTCCACCACCTCCTCATCCACCTCCTTCTCCTCCTCCTCCTCCTTCTCCTCCTCCTCCTCCCCCGCCAACTTGTGGTGGTTCTGGTGGAAAACAGGGTCATCGGTACTGCTCCTGCAGAGGGACACGCCCAACAAAATCTCAGCGCATACGCGTGCTTGCACACGAAGCCTTCCGACACGACGTGGGCGGCGTGACGAGGCCGGCGCAGGTTGCGTGCCCTCGGCGAAGCTGCAAGGGGGGAACCCACACTGAACAGAGTGAGCGAAGCGCGCGCGAGAGCGACTTCGTCGTCGTCGTCGTCGTCACTCTCGTCGTCCCCGTCGCTCTCCTCGTCGTCGTCGTCGTCGTCGTCGCCGTCGTCGTCGCCTCGTCCTCCACCTCGTCGTCGCCGCCGTCGTCGTCTCGACGTCGTCCGCCTCGTCGGGGGAGCGCCGGGGCGGAACGACTGTGCGGGGCGACGGCTCAATGGGGCGAACCCGCTGGGGGAGGGGGGGGGGAACCTCGACCCCGGATCCGCGGCACATCGCCTACACGTCGGCGCCACGAGCCCGACGGCAGATCCGCACGATCGCTGCCGGGCAGGCGGGGGCAATCCCAGAGAGGAGCAAGCCATGGCACAAGTTGAGCAGGGACCGACCTTCCAGGAGCCAAACCCGGTGTGATAAAACAAGACGGTCCCAGCCAGAAGCGTTCTAAGAACAGTTCGTGGAAGCCACAAAGGGTTCTTAGAGCATGCTCTGGTAGGCCTACGGGCGAGCCAGGACGCTTCGCCACTGCTCGAATAAGTAGGCATAAACTTGGGGAGTTGCGCGCTGATCTCTCGGATCGGCGCTGGACCCTCCCCACTGGCGCGCAGGAGCACGCCAGGGGCGGCGCTGGAGGGGCCGTCAGTCGACTCCAGCGCGGAATTCACAATCGTGACGGGGGTCTGCGTTTCCAAGGTTTTCTTGAGGAAGCGCTTTGGGGGGGAGGGGAAGCAGGGAAAGGGAAGGGAAGGGCAATGCGATGCAATGCGAGGGGGCGCGCTTTTCTGAGGACGTACTGTCAGCATGCTCTCTACCCCGCATGAGCATCTTCCTGCGCGGACCTCCCACACCAGATGTTTGTGTTTCTCTTGGTACTCCGCTGCCCGGCCCAGATCGGCGACGAATGAGCGATTGGGAGTCAACGCATCCCACCCTGGCTTACCCGTCGGTCGGAAGCAGTGAGTAGAAGCATGAAGCAGGACGGCGGTACAAGCCGATTGGGCTTCCGCCCGCTCCCCGGCGAGGAAGGGAAGAGGGCAAACCACTCGACCATTGAAGTAGGCAGGCGACTGAAGCAGGCTGGGGGCTGGGAAACCGACAATACCTGCTGTCGGCGACCGCCGTGCATCTCCCGGGACGTTGACTGGAGCAGCCAAGGGGGGGGGGGGGAAGGGCGGAGGAGAGCAGGTGCCGGCCCGCGGGCCCCCGCGCGGCACGTCCGCTGGAGCGCGGGGGGCAGGCAGCTGCGGGCGGCGCGTCTCGCTGCGGAGGAGTGGTAGCACCCGTCCGGACACGTCTGCAGATCCGCACCATGCGGAGACGTAAACGTGCACGTCTGCTATGTTGGTAAACGCAAACGCATGTGGTACATCTATGTGTTTGCATACGCAAACACATCGATAACAGGTACCTCTCATCTATGTGTACCAGGGTGCAGCCCAAGCAATGCTTGCGACCCGGGGCTCTCGCCTCTCCTGGGATTTGATGGGTCAGCCGAGGACTCGCCCCCGTGCTCGCCCGTGGGCGCATCGTGGGCGCCTCGTGCGCTGGGCGGCGGCACGCCTCGCACGCTCACGCACACCGCCTGGCCTGCACACCACCTTGCTTGCACCACACAGATTGCACCGCACAGCGTGCACGTCACAGCTTGCATCACCCAAAATTGCACCACGTAGCTCACACGCCACACGGCTCGCACCACACAGATCGCACCACACCGCTTGCGCCTCGTAGCTTGTGCCGCATGGCTTGCACCTCGAACTGTACGGTACAGACTGTTTGGGGTCCGTGGTGGCAGACATGAAAATACATCAACATAGATGTATATATACATATATGTGAATGAACATACATACGTATGTAAGAGTGTGGCGGTGCTCGCCGACTGATGCTTCAAAACCATGTAGTTTCCATCCGTCCTCCTCCCTGCTCCCACCGCCTCGCTCCTCCTCCTACTTCCCCCCCTTCTGAGTATCCCGCCTCCCTCCTCCTTCATCCCTCCCTCCTCCATCACCCTCTTGTGCGCCCTCCCCACCCTCATCACGCGCAAGCATTGTATCGGTCTTGGTGCACGTGCCAAGCGTGCGTTGCAACCTACGAACCGATGCACAACACTAAAACTGATGCTAATCAGCAAAGGAGAAGCAAGACATGTTAGGACTAGCGCTTCATGACACTCCTCCGCGGTGACGCGTTCAAAAAATGCGGTAGTGGCCCATGGGCGCACTGGCGACGCCGCGCGAAAGTTCGCGCCCGCGCTCGCAACGTCTGGGAAGAGGGAAGCGGGCAACCAATGAAGATTGGCACCACCATCCCTGGGAGGCTGACCACCACTCAGGGAACTGACGGCCACGAAGCCAGAACTTACACACATGATTATCCTGAGGTCGGGCATGTCCTTCTACAGGCGAATTAGGGAAGAAAAATTGAGAATAGTCGAAACGTGCTCAACAACAGCCCAAAAGATAAGAAAACTCGCCTGTTGGCGATTGCTGGACTGTTTTTGAGTACTCCTCGTGTAGAGGGACACGCCAGACTTGAGATTCTACACCGCCTGGGGATCCGAGGACCCAGTTCGGCGTTGGACAAACCTCCCTTTAGTAAACCTCCCTTTCATGAAAACGGCCTGGGACCGAAACCGACGGACCTGGACCCGCAAAAATGACGGCCGCGACGCCCTCTCGCGAACCGAAAACGGCCAATTCCTTAATCGACGTGTCAGGGTAGGGGGTCTGTCCACCCACGACCAGTACACCAAGGGTGGCAGTGGACATTGACATCTCCGGGCCCCTATAGTGGCCCGTCAGCTGTCCGGACCCCCTGCCTGCCGGGGCCCCGGGGCGCATCGGCTCCCCGGGCGGTGGACGTGCGCAAGCTCTGGCATCGGCCTGCGGGAATTTAAAGAATCGAACTCTATACACCGACGCTTCTTCCAGCCCTGCATTCGAATTTGCACTGGAGAGCGGCTCCTGGTGTATGCGGGACCCTGGTGTATACTTTGTTCGTTCCTTCCCCAGGGCATCGGGAACAAAACAAATGTACACCACGCCACCCGAGCGTCGTCCTCGACCCTCAGGAAATCCTGGGATTGAGAAACAGCCCGCCGCTGGTAATGGACATGTTCCAGCTTCCCCGAATCCGCGGCAGTGGAGGCCAAGTCCACGAGAGACCTGCCACGAGAAGCCGAGCCCCGAGAGCCCAGGGCGCCCCTTGAGATGCTGTTGGCGTGGGGGCGCCGCGCTCTCCATCGCGGAACCGTCGAGACCCAAGAAGCCCAGGGCCCCCTTGGAGGCGAGCAGGGCGTTCCTGAAGGGGCCCAGGGGCACGCAGATGAACAGACACCAATGACAGGATGCCCCACATTTCCCCATATCCTCCGGGATTTGTTGTCTCCCCACCCACTTCCCATTTTGTCCCATATTTCCTGGGTAATCGACGACGAATTGTGCCTATTTTCCTGTCCCTCCTAAGTTTCTTGCCATGGGCCTCGGCTGTCGTAGCGTCCGTCCGCGAGGCCCACCACCGCCACCACCACAGGGCCTCCACCCAGTTCTCAGCGGCTACGAAAGAGCACCAGCAGCGCGAGGCGCCGGGGAGGGTCCTCCTGCAGTGGTGCGGACCCCCCCCCCCTCTCTCGCTCGAGGCATCCCCTGTCACCTGGTCGGAACACCCCCCACGTTCGAGGTTCTAGGTAAGGCTACCTTCGATAAGCAACCCAGGGTCTCGCCACCGATGGGTGGCGAAAGGTGGGCCACCCACCTCGCCAGGGTTCTGGGCCCCGGAAAGACGTTCCTTATCCAATGTCGCCGCCGTATCCTCAGGCTGCTCCCAACGTGCTCAGGGAACCCCTCCCAGGAATCATTCCGAGCACCCCGAACAGTATCGAAGCAGTGTCGAACGAGTATCGCCTCCGGGGGCCCGACACTCGAACACCCTCCAGTTTCGGCACTTTCCTAGTGCCCTAAATTCTTTCTGGTGATCAAGGCTGAAATAAGTTGGAACACCATAATCCTATTCCTACAAAGCTCGTGACTGGCCCCGCACCCCCCCCTAGTCACGTCACGATTCGTGCTGGCGCCGTCTGGGAATAAGCCATTAATTTGCATTACCAGATGACGCTGGCCGAATCGTGACGTGACTGGCTGCCTCCACCCCTCCCCCACACCCTGGTCACGCCCGCCATTGCCAAGGGATGCAAAGACGGTTTCCTGCCGCTTTTCTTTCCTCCGAGCACCAGGCCCAAAACAGGACCGACGACTGCGGTGGATGCGGCATCTGGCCGATTCCAGAACCCCTGAACCCAAAAACGTTGCCATCTCTTTGGAACGCATCTTTTACTTCCGCTGGCTTCCACCAATTTCCGCTGGCGACGCCGCCTGCCGCCGACCTTCCGCCGAAGAAGAGATGCAAACTCCTTCGGTCCTCGAAGGCGAGGCATTTTCGTGAGAGCGCCATACAACGTATTCGACGATGGACCCCTTGTTACCCACCAGCCCTGAGCGGTCTTCGGCTGTCCTCTTGCGGTCTTGGGCTGTTCCCAAACGGTCTTCGGCGGTCTCTGGACGACCTTCGGCGGTATTCCTCGGCTTCTGTTGCAGAAAGAAGACGCTACGACCATACACTTTTGGCGCTCCGCGCGGAATCCTGGGATCTGCGCTGGACCCCCCTCTCTGGCGCGCGGAGCGCGCCAGGGGCGGCGCCGGAGGTGCCGCCAGGGGCCCAGTAGCGCTCCGGCGGCGCCCCGGGCGCGCTCCGCGCGCCAGGGAGGGGGGTCCAGCGCGGATCCAAGAGATCCTCGCGGAGTGCCAAAAGTTAGTGTTTATGGCGTTTCCTCTTCTTCGAGTCTGGCGGATGCCTCCAGTTGTCGGCGCGGAAGCTGGAGAGGTGCGGTTGAACGAGGGGTCCATGATCGAACACCTGACGCCGTAGATTGGCGGCGAGCGAGGGGGGGGGAAACGAGAAGGAGAAGGCCTTCCCAGAAGGCGGCGGGACTTCTCAGAATCTCTCGCGCCTTCCGAGAAATCGTTCGGATTTCTGGGAAAGCTCAAAAACCTTCTCAAAGGAGGGGGGGCTTCCAAGACTTCTGAGAAGGCACGCCCTTTGAGACCGTCTTGTTCTTGAATCGACAAAAACCCGGGTTATCCCAGGGGGGGGCCAGCCGATAACCTAAACCTCGCGCTGTGGGCAGCCTTGCATATGCCCGCGCCCCCCCTCTCGCGGACCTGCACAGCCGGCAAGGTTAGGTTATCCTGGGGGAGGGGGGGAGGGGGGGCAAGCCCGATAACCCAGGTTATCGCCCGACCCTGACAAACAGTCTCTCGCCCCTTCGCACTTCCCCCCTCGCTCGCCGCCGAACATAATCCGTCCTGGCCGAGGAGCTGCTGCCCTGTGCCGGCCCTGCTCCCGCCCCGGGGCCCCTTCCGAGCTGCCGAGGCCCGGCCCCCCTGTAGGCGGCACGGGCCACGGGGGCAGCCCTCGCCGACCCCAGCGCGAGAGGGAAACGGAGCCCGGAGGCTCGGAGAGGGGCACCGCCACCAAGCTGACTACCTACCACACCACCCCAACCCAACCCGAAGACCCGAATCCCACCAGCCCTCTGGGCATCGATGGTTTAGAGCGTTTCCTCTTCCACCCCTCCTTCTTCCCCTTCGGGGAGGGGTTTACCCCTCCCCCAGACCCCCCTCCCCTGGACCTGGACAGGGGGTTTCGCGAGGTGTCTGAGCGTCCAAAACGGCCTGGGCGAGGAAGCACAAATCATTGGTTTTACTAGGGTTGTGGCCCCATATTGGCATCTTGGGGGGGGGACGCTAATTGGGCACCCCCACTCCTGTGATCGATCTCACCCAAGATGGCCCCAAGAAGCGCCCAGGAGGCCCCAAGAGTGCCCCAAGAGGGCCCCAAGAGGTGGCCAGGAAGCATCCAAGAGGCCCCCAGGATTCCCCCAAGAGGCTCCCAAGAGACCCCCAAGAGGCCCCAAAAGACCCCCCAGAGGCACCCAAGATGCTCCAAGAGGCCTCGGCGAGAATCCCACATCATTGATTTTACTAAGGTTTTAGCCACATGTTGGCCCCTTGGGGGGGGCACTGATTAAGATGACTCCAAGAGCGCCTGGGAGAGCCCACAATGACCTCCAAGATGGCTCAAGATATCCCAAGATGTCTCCTAATGGCTTCCTCTGTGTGCTGCCCGCTTCCCTAATCGAGGCAATTCCTCTGAGCATCGTTTCTGGATGGGCTGGTGGGGATTCTTTTTTGTTGGCGGCTCCCAGGCGAAGGTCAGGAAGTGGGGCATCGAACGGGGCGCGAAAGCGTCGACAATTTCCATTGAGTTTCGGGTAAGGGGGGGTACAGGTTCCATAGGTTTTTTTTCAATGCTCCCCGACCCCCCCCCAACCGGAAATGGCGGGCAAATCGAGGCCTTCGGGTTGGGTTGGGGTGGTTTGGTGGGTGGTGACAATCGGGGGCGCGCAAACACAAATGAGCGATCCATGGATCTGGCGCGCGGTCGCCACATCCATGGATCGGGGGGAGGTGCCCTCCCCAGAGTGCGGCCGGTGCCGCCTCGCTCGGCGGCGAAGTCCGCGATTTCCCATGGCAACGGGACCCGTCGCTAATCCACGCCCCCTTGATCCATGTTTGCGATCGCCTGAACCAACGCAGGGGTTTGCCCCCACTGTGAGGGGCCACGATAGGGGGGGGGACCGGCATAGAGAGGATGCATCGACCTGGAATCGGCGATACATCGCCGATAGATCGGCGACAGGCCTCGGGTGGTGAATCCGCATCTTCACGGGCAGATTGGGGCTATCGGGCCCCTATCGGAGATCAATGGGCGATTGGGGGTCGATGCATACCCCCTATGCCGATCCCCCCCTATCGTTCCCCCCGACACCGGGGGAACAACATCCAAGAATTTGGGGTTGGTGGTAATATGTCGCCGATCTCGGAAGCGCGAGCAGCATCACCATCACCGAAATCGCGATCACATTCCCTAAGTGGAGGCAAACCTCCGAGTTGTCTGTTGTTGCCAACCTCTAAGGGCCTCTGAAAGAGGAGGAGGTGGGACGTTCGGCTGTTGCCAGGAAAAGCTCCTCGCCCAAAATGCCCCCAGAATTCCCAACCAGGCCTTGGGGCTATCCCATGATGCGTCCGCGCAGAATACGTCGGGAGAGGGAGAGGGAGATGCACAGAGGTCGGGGGCGACCGCTTCGCAGCGCCTCACGAGAAAGCCGTGACTCCGTGGCAAAATACGGCAGGGGCATTCTGAGCATCGTTTATCCGACCCCCATCATCCCCATTGCACGGCCTGGGCCCCGCTGGCCGACTTACACTTCTGGAATGGGATGTAGGAGCTGGTTCCTTCGGTTCTCCAGGG